AAAAAAAAAAAAAAAAAAAAAAAAAAAAAAAAAAAAAAAAATTCCCAATTTTTTTTTTTTTTATTTTTTTTTTTTTTTTTTTTTTTTTTTTTTTAAAATAATACTAAGCTTTGATCATTTCAGTCTGTGGACGTCCACTGCCAAAATTATGAAGATAAAAGTCATTATATCGTGTTTATTTTGTTTTTTTGTAGATTAAATTAGTCTGTGACAAAAGGTTGTATCTTAACCATACCATGTCGCAATCACATTTAAGGAGGCTAAAATCTCTAGGAAAAGCTTAAAAAAACGATTTTTGACGAATTTATACCATATTCCTCAAGGACCATAACCGCACAGTCTTGTCCTTAGACCCGCTCATGAAGCTGTTTTCATTGTCCAAGCAGTGTATTGACTTCACAGAATGTGTATGGCCGGAAAAACTTTGCAGTTTAATCTGTTTCAAATTAAACCTGGCCTCTTTGTCTGCCCGACCGATTTCGTGTTCCCAATATATTAGCCAGTCGCCGCGCAGATGACTGTCAAAGATATCGTAAAATTAAAGTGAGAATGGAAAACGCTGCGTTTGATTGTCATTTGTCAATTGCATTTGAACAGTCAAACGACATCGTGACGTCGCTTTTTGACTGTTCCGTCAATGTGACGGGTAAGAATATAAAACTACGACACACTAAATTGTGTTTGGATAAATAGACGCGGCATCGTTACGCATCATCATCTCGTGTCAACAATGTGGGACTTGACATGGTGTTGACCTATCACAATTAAACAAAACGCGCCGTAAGTTTGTCTTTCATTTTACTTTCTCACCATCTAGTATTATTTTGAAAGTGAAACATAGATTAAATTTAAGAAGCTAAGCGTTGTTGTATTAGGTATCTCATTTTGAAGAGAATAAATTATGACGCATAACGTGGTATTTAAACAGATTTATTATTTTTAAGGCACTTTTTGCCGCACCTCCAGTATGTGGAACCAGCTGCCTATTGAAGTATTTTCGACCCAACTCGACTATAGGACCCTATCCTTTAAGAAAAGAGTTCCAATTTTTAAAACCCACTTATGAACTTTCTGTCAGTGTCTTTGAGCGGCGTTATCACTCACTTAACATCAAAAGCGTCGCTTGTCCATTTGTCCTTTTAAAAAAAATGAGCTTCATAAAAGAGATAACTAACCTATAAGAACTTACCGATCACTCCTACATCCGTCTCCTTTGTAAGCAACAATATCAAATCCAACTCTAGGCACGTAAGAAACATCACTAGCGACATCTATCCTGTTCCCTACTAAAGTGACATTGGAGCCAAAACTGTTGGAATTCGATATGTGTTCCAGATCTTGTTTTGGAGTAATATCTATGTATTTTTTCAGAGGTTCATCGCTGAAAGAGGACTGTACGCGCTTGTCTTGTGTAATATGCAGAGGCGAGCTAAAATATGGAAAAATGGGACTGTTTTACCTAATATTTTACTGTTAGGATGTTACAATCTATTTTTATCTTGCAAAAACGTGCTATTAGGTCAATTTATTGCTTGAAACCAGGCACTTCACTTAGAAATGTGTTCAAGAAAATCGATATTTTGACGGTACCTTCCCAATATATTTACAACTGTATCGTTTTTGTGCGTAGTAATATTAGTTCTCTTTTAAAGAACTGCGACATTCACAATAGGAATACAAGAAATAAGGGAAAACTTTTCCAGCCGTCTTACAGGTTGCAGAAAATAAATACTTCATTTATGGGCCTAAGTATACGCTGCTATAACATGATTCCTAGTGAAATATTGGAACTGCCTTTAAACAGATTCAAAACACATATCAAAAAAACCTTAATGTGTAAAGGTTACTACACAGTCAATGACTACCTGGAAGATAAAAACGCTTGGCAATAGTTCTAATTATATTCTTATAATTTGATTGTTTATCTTTGAAGTGTTATGAATATGTGTGTAATGGTGAATGTGGTAAATCACAGAACAGATTTTTTATTTTTTTTTACTTATGTAACTTTAATGACGTTGGGGTTTATGACATTTTCCTGTGAATAATTGTAATGTAAAGGGAGGGCAAACTTGCCGAGTTCCTTGCCCGTTCTTCTCAGAACAAGGCCTCCTGGTAGTTTTGCGAACGGATGGCGTAGTCTTGCTCTTTCGTGAATTTTGTAAACGTTGTTGACATTCATAAGCATGCTCTAAGAAGCATCTAAATTGAATAAACGTATTTTGATTGATTTGATTGATTGATTGATTACATTATCCCTGAATAATATAGGCTAACAATTGAATAAATAAATGTCCAGCCGTTACAAGCCAGCGAATTTATTACAATAACTACATAATTCGATAAATGCGTTAGAAAGACGAGAACTTCAAATATGCTGGACTTCGGTAAAAAAACTTTGTTTTCCTAGTGGCTTCAGAGTGCGAGTATCAGCCATGAGATCGTAGATTCCGGACTGTCTACGGGCGTATAGCACTGGCACGTATGGTGATGGAAAACAAGGAAATTGGCATGTCTCTAATCCAAAACTAAATGAGTCAGACAGAAGGCTGATCACCTACTTAAACACAAAAATATGAACAAAGAAACAAATACAATCTGAAACCAAGACCCATATAGGGTTGTAGCGCCACTGAATTATTGCTATTAGTACTCGGGTAAACATAATTAAAATAAATACGTAAAAACAATCGCTGTCCATACTTTCAACTTGCCTTTAAATAACTTACACTACGACTTTTAAATGAACATCTCAAATGAAATTTCATACAGTTACTGAACCAATCAAAACAGACACAAAAAACAAACAAAACTTACCTAATACAGTGTTTAAGTCGATATTCCTGACAAAGATTGCGTATAGTATCGCTGTTTTTGAGTGCTCTTTCTATAGCGTCTGTACCGACTAGTTTAGTGAACCTCGTGTATGCGTGGTATGCTAATTCACTGTCGAATACAACTAGGAGCTCTTCTTGGGCCTATAAGGAAGATTCAATTTAATCCATACATGACACGTAAAAATATACAAATCTATACTAAATTATAAACCTGAAGAATTTCATGGACCTATGGTTTTGAATTTAAAATTTCTTTCGATGGAGGTAGCCCATATAAAATCGATTATTTTGATAACTTTCATCTAAATTTATTTTATCATAGAAATTATAGTTTAAATAATGCCAAACTACTAAAGGATGTATGTCTATAAGGGATGTACGGGAGAAAAAGTTGGCAAATTGTCGACTATGAATCTTATCCTTAATTTTAGTTGCCAGTCCTTTTTTTTAGTTTGTAGGTTCTATATACAAAATCCGAAAAAAAAAAAGTGACATCATGAAAGGGCCCTAAATGTCCTATTTACTTTACTATAATGATTATTTACGACGAATTATTGTTATATATATCAAATATTGCATATTACTTCGTTAGTAGGATCCAAACCCGGACCGAAGTACCAAAACTTACAGTAAGGGTAGCAGCATCATGGCTATCAGGTAAGGAAGGAGGCGTACACGCCAATTCAGGAAGATCAGCTCTAACAACCCTTCCATCACGGACAGCCCATTCAGCTGTACTCCCATCTCGACAAATCTCCAGGAATCCTTCTAATTTTGGTTCAGAATCTTGGTCTGTGGCCTTAAAACATTTTGTCTAATTAGTTTTATAATAATAAATAATTAAAGGCTTTGTTCTATAACAAAATAAGAAATAATTGCTAAGAATAATAATAATCTACCCCTTACATTAAAAAAAACCACAACAACTATAAACATTTTTTAACAATCAATTTTATAGTCAGGTTATCTTCTGACATAAACCAATTACTTTTATTACAATAGAATAAACTTTATACAAATCTTTTCTAATTTCCGTATTCTGTTATCGACTAACAAAAATTCATACAGTAATGGCCTGATTTTCAAATAAAAACTTTAAGTCATGATATGATTATTATATCAAACCAACAATTACACCATCTTGAAATAAAAAATGGGCTATACAATGTTGACAAATTACATAAAAATACGATACTTTTAGTGAATTCTTTTAACCGTTTATTATTTCGACACTATTCACGACTTGTAGTCTTCAATTACAAGTTATTACAATACAATATTTTCAGTTAACGATATGCTGAAAATATTCTTGTACAAATGAATTTTAATACATAATGACACATTTTTCTCTCAAATGGTGTTAATGAATATTGAAGTTTACATATTGTATGGCCCACCTTTTCTGTGTTAGGGTCCTCTTGTTTTGGCCAATTATCAGTTTTACCCGTAGCTTTATCAAACGCGAGAAAGAATCTATAACATAATAAAAAAGGTTATAAAATACTTTTTACACTAAAACCTTTTTGTAAAAATATTTGTAGTACTCTGCGACTACGAAGTTATCTCCGTAGTTAGACAGTTGTTTATATGTCATCCAATGTGAACAAATGATTTCCAAGACAATAAAAACAGGTTTTTAACTGTACTACATCTCTTCTAAATTACTACCATAGAGACATAGAGTATGTCAAAATCAAAAGTTAGACTTTTAGTAGCTAATGGTCTAAGATCCGGCTGCAGGATTGGGAACACTAACATTCGACGTAAGCGCAATGACTTAAAGGCGTCGTTTACATCTGGCTACGAAAAAGTGCGGCCAGGTGACAAACGTCTCCGGTGATTTTTTAAAGTCTTTATGTAAATTGCCGTGATGTAGACGATATTTTAATATCTTGAACGAAATGTTTTCCCAAAAATCAATTCAAAATAATATCATAAAAATACTAGCGGCTAATTATGATAGGTAACTTGGTAGATATACATTCTCCTAATAATAATACAAAATTTGTTTTTTAGGAAATAACAGATGAGCGCACTAATCCTGCAGCCGGATCTCGTACTATAAGGGTGATGAAATCAAAATAGGTATAAAGTATTGGTAAAAAGATGATGTATGTATACCTCTGCAAAGCCGGAACACACAAATGCTTCCTGGTCATCTCGGGTCCAATCCTAAGCGCTAGGGCGTGCAAGGCATCGAGCAGTTTCCGTGTGAGGGCACAGCGCGCTGCAGCTCCACTGGGGAAGGAACTTCGACTGGTGCACGCCAATCGAAGAGCTGGCTGAAGGATTGATTTGAGGAATGTGTCCTGGAATAAAGAGTACCAAGTTAATTATCAAAGAACAGGTAGAGGTTGTACGAAATGAAAACCATCGTGCAATGTGAGGTCGCAGCATTTCTAAACTATATTTTTTGTTTTAGTTCGACAGACAAAATTATATAACTTATACTCTGATTTTTAATTCCGTAGAATTCTGACAGCTATCATTGTTTGACATGTCAGAGATGACAAACCTTTTGGCCAGGCACATTTATCCATTTCAATACGAGTCTGAACATATGAGTCTATTCATACATTTTATTTGTTAGTGAATGTATCCATTTTACTAAGTGCGGTGGTTCACATTAAAAGTCGTTTTAGGGCGACTGATAATTACGTTCTCTTTCATCACTAACAGTAAAAAACGCAAAAGTAAAGATAACATTTTATTTATTAAAAAGGTTTACTAAACCCGGAATTAGTAGACAGTGATGATAGCTAAAGAATAATATAAAGTAATTAAAGTTATTTCGATATATTGTTCGTGATATTGAAATATTTGTTATTTCTGTATTAGGTCAATTGACTTATGAAGTGAATATTTAGATTTTTTTTAGATAGAACGTGAAAAATACGTCGCTTTTTATTTTTTATTGCCTTCAAATGGGTCAATTTTGTCCCTTTTTCGGTGGAGAACTCTTTTAGTAGGAACACTTATGAAATGTCAGAATTTTACGGAATTAAAAATCAGAGTATAGTATAACCTCGCTTTTCTTTCCGCACCGCTACTATATATATGAAACCGCTCTTTTTAGAATTATCTTGTTCATGCATCAGGCATTCCTAAACGGATTTCTACTAAATTAGAAATAGTTTTATATTTGTACCAAGGCAATATATTTTATTTCGAACGGCAGCGCGAACATTATTTTCTAAAGGCAATTTTTTTAACGAAAATTTTTATAAACAATATTAATAGAGCTTAATTTGCCATAATCGGATTATACGCTTAAAAATATCACACATATTTCAAAAAAGGCACGTGATTAACCTTCAGTGAAAATATATTACGAACCTGTAACTGTTCCATGACCTTCCCGTCGGCCATGTAAGGCAGCAAGTACTTAAGAAGTTGCAGACAAGCCACCACCCCGCCTTCCAGCGGAGCAGATAAACGACGCCGACACGAAGCTATTAACTCGCCCATGTGAGGCAAGTATTGGAATATTATTAATTGTTCCCCGTACATTGCTGTAATTGGAAGAATAAAAATTTTAGCACTACAGAAAAGAGAGAATGGAATACGTTGGATTCTTTTTTAATTTATGTATGTTCACCAATTACTTGAACGAAACCAATCAATTGTAAAAATACTTAAACAGTTCTACATAATTTTCATATTGTTATATTCTGACGAAAGTATTTTTTTACTGTAAGAAATTTCAATGCCGTATTATAAACTCACCTACAATTGAAGTAAGGCACTTAATAACTTTAATAGCATTACGGTCTCCAACAACAGCGCTGTTCACTAAAGATATCTCATCAAATTCATCTTTGTCTTCCATTTCACAAGAAGCCAAATTTTCTTTTCCAATATAACATAAGGTAAGCATTTTCAAAAGGTTTCTAGTTATATATCTACATGACAAAACCGGACCTAATCTATGAGATAACCAAATTAAACTTTCCGAACTCATATCTGATATTTTGTAGGAATCATTGTACTCTTTTCTATCATCACCCAAAGACTTTACTACTGGAATCGCGTGATCAGCTTCTGTACTTTCTGGTATGTCCAAAAGTTCGCTTTCCAGAGAATCAGGATGTCGTTGATCTTCCACAAACTGCAAATAACTAGTAAACATTGGTTTTGGCGTATCTATGCTAGGTGACAATGTTTTACGTATTTCTGGAACAACGTCTCTCTCCTCTCTGAAGTGATCGGCGTTTTTCAATGTTAAGTTTGTATAGAAACGGGAATTTCCAGGCGATACTTGCTCTGTGGACGGAGAAGGAGTCTGTAAAGTATCCCTGACTGCTGGATTGGAATCGACCGAACCAGTCGGCGATTTGCTTCGGCTGCTGCTACTTTGATTTCTTTCCTTGTCATTTTCAAAATGGAAGAGTTCATTTTCACTTCTATTATCATCTTTTTCTTTTAAATATTCACTAACGTCAGACATTGTTTTTTCAATGCTCGGAGTAACAATCTGTTCCGACCCACAGGAAGTATCAGGAGAGAAAATATCTGAAGTAGTTGTTAGAACATTCTTAACACTTTCGTCTGAATATCTCGGCTTCTTGTTTGCCATAGAGCGACTGTGACAGGAATGGCCCAAAGCCCCAGTTTGGTAAGAAACGTCTTTGTACCCTCCGACAGCCTCTACTAAGTGCTGAGTGATGTTATCCAAAAAACACTGAAGGCCTAGTCTCACCATTAATTGGAGTAGAAAAATATTATGATACAGTTTTATAAATTTCTGTTTGCTGGCCAATATAGCAGACGATGTAGCATCGTTTTCCGTAACCTTCTCAGATTTCTCATAGACAAAATCGTCATCCTCATATAGATTTAAAATATATTTGAGTAGTTTGTTTCTCGTTTCCGCCGGACCTAAAGCTTTAGCTATCGTATCAAATAGATGCCACGCTGCCAACACCGAGGTGTCTTTATTTTCTAATAGCTGTATGTAATGTTGTAAAAATATATCTAAAGCATCAAAATCATTTAAGCCAGTGTATAAATTGAGAAGCACTCCCAAATGGGTTATGCATGCTTGAACTTTTCCCTCTGCAATTTTTTGAGCAAAATATAACTTGGTTTTATCAACGTTTCCGTATGTTTCACACTGGACGCCGTCACATTCGTACGTGTATATAATATTTAACTCGTTACTGGTAACCTCATATTCATGTAGGGTACTCAAGAGGCTATGTAGAATAATGAAGCTTTGTGGAAACGGTATCAAATGTTGCATTAACAGGGGTTGCAGTAACTGAGTCGCCGTCGGCGTCGGCAACCCTTTATCTGTTACAGCAATTTTTTTATGAGGCTCTTCTTGTAGGTGCAATTCTTGTTTGAAAGAGAGACTAGGAGGCTGAACATTCAATAACAAGGACGCAATATAACTAACACACTTCGGTAATGAACGAAAATTGTACTTCAAAACCGCCCGACAACTCTTATATCTTTCGGTAAAATCACCACTGTTCTGCCTTAATGGTCGTATGTAGTTATGAAGAAAGATTTCCACAATAAGGCACCCAATTACGATCATATCTTGCCGTCGACTCTCTGTTACGAATTGCTTGTAAACATTCGCATCAGTTGTATACCTTGTATTAAACATTCTGCTCTTCCTTTCCTTCAGCACACTTTCTAATTGCGAGTCCTGACTCATTTTTTTCAGAAATCCCTGGTCATAAGACGCTAAGAACATGTGGTTAGTGAATGCCGTGTCATCCGTGTCTTTTTGTACGGTTTTGTCTTCTACTGGACATAAATTTAGAGCGGGAACATTGGAACGGGAACTCTCTTTATCGTCAGACTTGCTAAAGAAGCATTTCGTTCTGAAGTTATCCAACGTCTCCAAAGTTTGTATGGAAGATGCGGGGTTAAATTCTTTTGGGAGGTAAATAACTGCTTGGCCATATTCAGAGCGTTGTACTCTATAGTGTCGGGAGTGTGACGATGCCCTGTGTTCATTGTATGGGACATCTTCCTCTTGTCCTTTTGTAAGAGAACGAGCTCTCGAACTTTTCTGGCGCCGTATCCGTTGGGTAGGAACCGTCAACCGAGATATGTGTTGCGGAAGGCTACTGGATTCGTCTTCTTCGTCAGTTATGTCATCTGAACTATCACGGACGGATTTTCCTAAAAAACAAATAATAATTTGCTTTAGAAATACTGTTATTCAATCGAAATGTATACACAGGTAAAAAATAATTAACAGAAATAATTTTACTATTTTGTGTTACCAAAGCTTTTTTTATAAAACCTACTGGTATCTCTGGGGGTGGTCCACCGCAATCTGGGCGGGGCCGGTGGTAGTGGCCTAAGCTTGCGAGGTGGGTGTGGCGCTGCCAACAACTGAACTGCAGTACCACGTCGCGTCTTCATATGTTGATCAACAAGGGATAAACACACGTTTTTCGCTTTTATTGCTGCTGGTCCAGATAACCTTAAGGTATTTAATAAATATTGTATAGAATAATTTTCTTTCTCACACTTAAAATAAGGTATATTTCGGTTGCTTTGAGGTATAAAATTCCATCTATCCTTTAGGCTGAGTAGTCAACTTAAAACGTTGAATTAATTACAAGCTAACTTCACCAACTACTGGTAATGGTTTAAATAGATTTCATTATTATTTACATGTCTTCACCCTCACCTTCACACTTTTTTCGTGTATGCGTGTATACTGTTTATATAAAATTTTGCATATCCATTAAGTACTAAGTTGTTGTTATGATTGAAAACGCGTCACCATTTAAGACTGGTACTGGAATGCCTAGGCGGCTGAGTAACGCACGCACAAGAGGTCTTACGAGTTTATGAATAAGTAAAATATGTATCCTCAAATCTTGACTTTTCCAAAATCTTAACAAAGGTAAAGTTTTAGCAGACTACTTTAATGTACATGCATGTAATACGACTAGAGATTTTGATTTAAAAACACCTACTTGTAACCAAAAGTTATATCTATCCAATGATGAAGATTTTCCGAGACGTGAGAACTTTCTAGTGCTTCTCTGTGCTTTGTTATAAAGTCCTCAACACATGTCGCCCATGTAGGTATTCCAAGATCCTGTATAAAAAGTTGCATGCATATTTATGATTGATTGGACAATTCACACCAATTGACCTAGTCCCATGCTAAGCTGGTGAAGCTTGTGTTATGGGTACTAGGCAACGGATATACATACATATAAATACATGTTTAAACACCCAAGACCTAAGCACAACACCAAATGCTCATCACATCGATGTTTGTCTCAGCCGGGGATCGAACCCGGGACCCATGGATTCGCAGTCAGGGGTACTAACCACTAGACCAATGAGCCGTCAAATATACATATATTTTGTTAATATGATTAACACCATCAAATTTTTTAAATCAACTATGTATTTACATTCCCAATAAAACATGTAAGCGTTACAGTCTAAGAAAAGTATGTCAAACAGATATGATATAAATAAATTTTATATGTTCATTATTTCAAACATAAAAGCTTTAAGGGTGCTCATGTAACACTTATATTGTCTTCCAAACTAGTATGGGATATAAATTTTTAAAAGTTCTATTTATCAACTAGATGACCCCGTGAACTTTGTTTCACCAACATAATATATTTGTGTCAAAACTTTTAAAACATACCAAAGAGGTCGGCCCTCATACAGCAGACTACATACTAATACTATGAAACACATATTTTTGACATGTAAATGACAACCAAGTGACAATTTTTAATTTCTAAAAAGACGTCCAATGCCCCATCTAAGAACAGTTTGTATTGGGAAAATCAATTGTCGTTTTTAGTATTTTTCTTTAATTATTATTTACGTTTCCCATCGTTTAAACCTTCCCTGATCTTCCACAAATATTTTAAGATCATAATTAGCCAAATCGGTCCAGCCGTTCTCGAGTTTTAGCGAGACTAACAAACAGCAATTCATTTTTATATATATATATAGAACATAGATATAGATATAGATTAAATATTTTACAAGTACATATTATTGTGTGAGTTTCTTACAGGCAGATCTTCATGTATGCTCTTAAATACTGAGGGATCAGTATAAAATTCTGGTATACATTCATCTGGAGTCCATTCCTGCATTCTTTGTATGGAAGCTGGGTACTCTGCGGGCACCCATTTGTTTCTTACATATTTACATAATGTTTCTTTTGGTGTCCTAAAAAATTTAAGATAATTACTTATAGAACTATTTATATATAGAAAAAAGAAAACAAATTAATATTCTAGACAGATTTCTTATTTACAAGATTGGATTCTAAAGTTGCATATTATAAGTAATAAGAAATAATAGCAAAAGTAATAATTATACCTTCTAGCAAGATACACATAACAAGTAATATCAGAGAGGGCATCAGTAACATGGTGAGGTATTTGTCCACTGCAACCTGTCACATCATATGTCATGTCCAGCTGACGATCACCTTTGTTTAATCTGTATTTTGATTTAGTTAAATCTCTCCAGTTGTGACCTACGTAGAGTATTAAACACAATATGTAAATATTCCGTTAAACTAACTATAAATTATAAACAAGAAGTTGCTAGGAATATATAAATAACATTTATTACTCTTTATAGTATTCAACATCCCTATTTGCCATATGTTGTTTTTATAATATGGAACTATAACTATTGGAAGTGATGGTTACACTTTTTTTTGTCACTTACCACATCTCGAGGAAAAATCTGTGACCCACGGAACCATAAAATGAGCTTGAGGATCATTAGCTGATCTCCCAGCTAGAGAATTTAAATGAAGTAGATAGTCCAAATTAGATAATTGTCCCCTCACCCACAGCATACACAGCTTCTCTAATTTCACTGCATTGTTTCTCCAACACCCTTCTTCATCTGATAGACTATTCTTGCTTTTTACTACTTGGCTTTGCACATTACTCTGTTTACCTTGACTTTGCTCACAAATTAATGATGGGTCTAAACAATAGACATTGTTAGTTATGGATGGCATCACTTGCAACCACAAATCTTCAGTCAAAAAAATATCTCTGAGATCCAAAGAACCCAAGCACAGACCTCTATCGCCCATTGCTTTTAAAACATATAATAATTGATATATTACAAAAAGACCTCTAGCATATGTCTTATCTATTATATTTGGACTGAAATTAAGACAATCTAAAAGACTATTCTCATAATGACTTCTGTATACAATAAATATGTTATTTTCAGACTCTAAAGCAAACATAGCAGCCAGTAAATTGTTTTGAGTATCATATGTTTTTGACACAGGTCTGCTCAACTCTTTAACTTCAAATTTTCCAGTTCCATCTGGCCTCAGTTTGATAATATTGGTTCCATATAGCCTCATAATAACTTCAGTGAGTAATTGGTCATGTTCCAATAAATTAACTATAGCTGTTTCCTTGTTACTTCTTATATTTTGAGAATATTTTTTGTATGATTCTTTCCATAAATTTCTTTGATTATTTTGTGATACATATTGTAATAATTGTGAAAATGTAAGAGGTGAATCGTTTACTTCAGATAATTTGTATCGGGGTAAAGGCAAAACTTTAGATAATTTTTTATTTAGCACCTGAAACATTTTACAACGAACTTTATAAAATATATTTTAAAAGGCGCATCGTATAGCATAATTATGAATCTTACCCTAATAAAAACTTTTTTCCACGGATACGGAACACTTTCACCTGGCTGGAGCGTAAAATCTATATTATTTACAGAGTTATCTACGTCTATATTTTTAAGCCATTTCTTCAACCATGTATTATGAACAACAACAGCAAATAAAGTAGGAGACGATGTAGTATATATATTTTTACTATTTAACCTAAGATCCCTAACAATACAATCCATTTCGATTTATTTCTTCTAATTTATTGTTCTTTGTTTTGTTTTGACTTGAGGATAAACAAAATTTTTATAACTGTTGATATAAAGTCAATTTGTCAATGTCGAAAAGGCACATGATCTAGTAGACCCACAGAATTTAGTTCGTAATTCGATCTATGCAATTCAGCAGTATTGTCAGCTCTTCGTTACCAAAGTGCGCTGAAAAATAAAGAATCCAAAAATGCCAATGTCTGTTTTACGTATCGGGATAGTGATTTGAGTATTAAGCCAGAAAATTCTGGCTTAATACTCAAAGGGATAGTGTTTACGTAGCATTTAATATTTTACATGACAATTTTTGAAGTTATACTAATTCTTTAGGCGTGTTATGAAAAATTTATGAGAGTGAAATTTTACGATGCGCGCGCACCGTGACACAAAATTAACAGAATGAAGTTGCCCACGGAAGATGCTACGGCATTGGACATAATTTAAAAACAACATTCGAATATTAATAGAATTTATGTTACACTTAATGTAAGAGAATAATAATAAATATTTATTTATTTAATTTTTCAAATGTAAACTGAACTTTATTGACTATAATGACTCCTTTTCCAGTCTTTGATTACATATTTAATTGTAATTAATTATTTGCATGCAATCAAAAACTATTTTTAATAATGCCAAAGAAGTATAACTTCTTACGCGCGTACATAAGTACACGCACCCTTTTTTTATCTGTTCTGTAGTTCTTCAACGTTTTTATCACATTTCTTATGACTTTAATGCACTTTTTATTTTCCTTAAAGAACATGTTTCAAGAGCGCGCATTAGGGCCGATTTACATTATCTTGGGCCCATTTACATTATCTTAGTGTTTAGCAGAGTGCTTGAGGATAGTACTTTAGTTGAATACGTATTTTATTCATGTATTCTTCTTCTAACAATAATATAATTGTCTAATTGAAAGATCGAAATTAAACACACAAATATTTAGTTTGAAAATATATTTTTACCAAAAATAGTTTTACAGAACAATAATATAAGGTTTATTTAAGTAATAAAAGCTTTTTATTACTTGGAATGATTACTTATGAATAGTTACTTATTAAATAACTGTCATAATAGGAACTGTGTTTAAAGTCAAGTTTGTTGTATTCAAATTATATACTTTAAATACATATTGACATGGATAGTTTCAACATTAATATATATATATATATATATGTATATATAAATATTACTTCTTTAACATGTAACAATATTAATACTTGTTGAGTTACAAAATTAACCCTATAATATATCTTTAACATCTTTCTAAATACAATATGAAAAGGTAAGACACTTATGTGAAAGAACTGTCTCACTCGCCATGTTGACGATACTTATCAGTGTGTTGTATCAAATAAGGAAAATGTGTCCGCTATTGGCTTTCCAGCACCTTTTGTCACATGACCATATAACAACACATTATTAAACTTAATTATAATAACAATAATCATTTTTATAATTGAGCAAAACCAAAATTCATCCAAAATCTTCAATATTTGTTCTACATACATGTAAACAAACATATTTTAATTGAACACCATAAATTCATGTAGATGGCCAGCGACTTCAGTTTGCAAGTCAATGCGGAAATGATAGGACGAGTGTGACTGCAACTTAATGTTTTAACATAAAGAGGGAAGCTTATTCAACTTTACCAGATATTCTCTTAATGTAACATTTCCATAGAGTATCCTTGTATAATACCGCTTCTGATTCTGGATTTTTGGCTGAAACTATACCCCTACCAACAACTATGACATCACCACCATTTTCCAATACTACCTTTTCAGGAGTGTTGTACACTTGTCCCAGGTCATCTTTAGAACTTTGAAGCTGGACTCCAGGTGTTAACTGGATGAACCCAGGATCTTTGAAAGTGTCTTTATGCTGACAGACAAATCCTGTGATCAGATCTGAATACTTTTCTGCCATCTTTACCGTTTCATTGGTATACTGTGGCGTAATAAGATTGCCCTGGAGACACAAAAACATATATTTACAATGAAGTTTGTAATTGAGATTTTTAGTAATTCATCAGTCAATACTATATATTTCTTCCATCAAGGGTCTTCTTGAACTTTAAAAACTTTGAAATTTAAGTAGTTTTAAGTCTACTTTCAAAGTATAGTTTGCTAGGCAACAGGAAACAAAGGCAAGAAATAAACATAAAATTAAATAGCACATCAAATAAAATAATATAAATAACTATATCATATTGGAATCCATTACCAATATCTAATTTTGTGCTTGAACAATACCAGAAAGTGGTATTGGTTGTGTACAAACAAATATACTGATTACATTAGACTTCACAATCATGGGTAAGTACACAAAACATAGGATATGCATAGATATCAGGCATAAATTAACTTTTTCTTGCATTATATTTACCTCACAACTCATTTCGGCAAGCAAAAATACGCCTTTATCACAATTTGATTTACTATTAAGAGCCTTTAATATTCCTTCTCCAGGCAATGAATGGCAGGTTACACAGTCGGCCCAATTAGTTATATTATATAGTCCTCCAGTGTACTGCAATGCAACGGTGTGTCCTATATCTGCAAACTTTCTATCCTCCAAAATCAAAAAGTTATACTTGTTAGCCAATTCCTTTAAAGATGTAATAAAATCACTACTAAAGTCTTCTATTATGTCAACATGTGTTTTTACTAAACAAACATGTTTCCCAACTTTCTCAAGAAGTTCTAAAATTTGTGTTGATGATGTAAGGTCAACAGATATACATAAATTGGTCTTCTTAACAGCCATTATATTAAACAGCTGCTTTGCAATAGCATTTTTTGACATTTCTGCTCGCTTTTCATAAGTTAGAGACATTCTATTAATTTTTGGAGCTGAAACAATATTATTCAGCATGAAATTAAATGCACTTGGCATTAAAAAATAAAATATGTTCAGGAAGATCACTTATTCCACATCATTAAATTTGTATAGGTAGTAGGTAGGGTATCAACCCTACTAATCGGCTAAGAAGACAGAGGGTGTAGGCCGAGAGAAAAAGCGAGCGTAAAAACTCTTGGTACTTTTTCAAAAAATATATTTCAAATCATCAAATCCAAAAAAATATTAAATCCTTATTATAAAAGATTGCAAAAATCAACTTTAGAATTTTTTTCATATAAATACAAACCTGTATTAGGAGCTTTAACATTTTGTAAGTAATTTTTTACATCATTGGCTGTTGCCTTATTTATTTTGTTATTTTCAACAAGTATTTCTATCAACTTTGACATTGTTAGCAAGGCTTTCATTTTAACATCATTTGCTTCTAAGTTTTGCCTTCCACCTTGCTCTCTATCTAAAATAATAATTGCTTCATCTGCCTTAAGGCCTTCTTTCCTCAAGTCAGTAACAGTCTCCATAACACTAGAACCTGATGTAACTACATCCTCAATTATTAGACATTTTTCACCTACTTTGTAGTGTCCTTCTATTAGTTTTTTTGTACCATATGACTTTGCTTCCTTGCGACGCATCAACATTGATTTTTTAACTTTAACACTGAGCAAAGTAGCAATTGGTAAGGCAGTATAAGGCACACCGCAAACATGGTCAAATTGACTATCCACTATTGAAAATTCATATAGTAGTGAGGTGATTAATTCCTGAAAATCATATGAAAAGTTGTTTATAGGAAATAGATAAGGAGGCCACAGGTGCAGGTTTTATTCTTAACACTTATAGGACTTGTCAGGGTAAGATTCAGAAACTAGACTTACAGTGAGTAATACTGTATTTTAACTTACAAGAGCTATAGCTCAAGCTAAGTCTTGTTCCTTAATTTTGTTCATGTTCATTGCTCTTTTTCCTCTTTACCGTGATAGTGATTTCCAGTAAAAGTTTAAATTTTTGGTTCAAACTCGAACTACCATGTTACCCAATGTGTTTGCTAAAGAAATTGTGAACTCTTAGGCCTTCTTACGTACTAACTGATATACTGTGTGTGACAATAACTTTTAAAAATGGCTTTGTAATAAGATGATACAAAATTTGTTTAGTAAATAACCTTAAAAATTATATTTCAATTTAAAAGTCACACCTTTGACGGTTTATAGAAAGTACCGGGAATAATGCTATCAGAATGTCCCATTCAAGATTCTGATAACCTTCTTAAAATATTTCGGTGAATATTTCTGCTGCAACCCAAAATTTAAAAAAAATATGTTCTCACCATAACTTCAGGATAGCTTACAATTACTCGAAGATCGAAGTAAATTGGAGTATTAATGCCACTTTTTGTCATAAACTCTCCAAACTTTACAGCATCTATTTTATAAAGACCTAGAGCTAATTCAATAATCTTTTTATCGTAATCCATTATTAATAAAAAAGATTTTAATTCTCACAAGTTTGTTCTTAACTTCTTAGGGTTAGAGGAAAATTTTAAAATATTTAAGAGTTAAGAGCCAAGAGGCCAAGAGGGGTAATTTTTTTAAATTTATTTATTAGCCGGATACAAAGTCCATTGGCACTTTAAAAAAAGGTATAACAAAATATCTTACACAAATAACTATACTAACTTAACATAAAATACAATCAATATAAAACAATGGTGAGCTTAAATTTTCTCAACTGTGTTTTTATATAATAGTAAATAGCTTTGAATAGAACTGGACATTTCAGTAAATCTTGGACACGGCGGGGAATTTCTATTTGTGATGGTTGACATTGATGACTACCATTTGCAGTGACTGATGAGTCTAAAGCTGATCTTGTCGGGTTATTTGCTAAAGAATTTCCAAGTTTAGTCCGATTATTCTCATCAAAATCCACAACTTCATAATATCCGTTACTAGTATTAATCGTTGAAATTTAAAGGTCGGGCAACTCAAGATGAGGTGGGATAAGTCGGCCTCATTTCCTCCACAGTATGTACATCTGTTATTATTTATAATTTTAAAACGAAATAAATGGCTTGGAGTCTGACAGTGGCCAAACCTCAAACGATTAATAATGGTTATAAATTTACGTTCATTGGCTCCTTTGTATTTATCATACCAAGGTTTACATGGGAGTTCCTTTTGGATCTCTGCATACCAACTACCTTTATGCTGTGAGGATAATTTCCAATAGCTTTCCCATAACTTGCGACTTCTTTGTTTTAAGTCGAAAAGAAAATCCGTAAAGGAACTCTGCATGTAATACTATGATCCTCATCATAATTAGAATTGACAATACCATCTACAATATCATTTCCCTTGATACCCCTATGAGAGGGCACCCATTTAAATGTTACTGGAGTATCCAAAGATATCAATGCTTCTCTAATTTTATACAATAAATAATTATTTCTATAATAAGTATGACATTTGTCTAAAGCCATTAACACACTTTTTGAATCTGAAATTATTAGGAACTCCATGTAGTTATCGTTATTTTGTAAACTTTGTAAGTACAATACAATTTGATAGATAGCATAAGCTTCAGCTGTAAATATGCTGCAAGTATTACTTAACATAAAACATTTTGAGGTTTTAGCCTGAGGATCATAGTAACCCGATTTCACTGCAGATGAAGATTTAGACCCATCAGTGTAGACTTTGTAACTGTTAGGCTTGGTACAGCAATAATCCAGAAAGTCTATATTATCTACTACACTGGACATATCTATATTTAATTTACACATAAGAGCTTTATATTTACAAAGATATACAGGCCATAGTTCAGATTTGTACATATTATCAGATAAATCAGTCATAAAGCTCATAATTCCCAATAATTCAGGGATCTGGTTATTGAGAACATAGTCGATGTCAATTAGACCATCTAAAAGGCAAAGTCAAATCGTTTATTTCAATTAGACCATCTAAAATGGCACTTTTGAACCAAAAAAAAAAAATATAAAGATGATTCTAGTTGCCCCTTCCAAAAGGTAGTTTCGTGTGGAGAAGAATGGGCAAGAAACTCCACACTTACTCTTTTAAAATAGGTTTACAATATTTTGTTACATTTGTTAAATAATTATATGTGAAGACAATGTACGCTTAGAATAAACTACTATACTAAAAAAGTTAGTATACATGTTCCTCACATATTTACAAATATCGAAACCTTAGAATATTAACATTAAAGAGTAATAAAAATATTAAAAAAACACAACAAAACAGTGTGTGAGATACAAAAAAAATAATTACATTTGTAGCATTATATAAATTAAAAAAAAAAATAATAATAATAATAATAATAACAAAAATTAACATATTTTTTTTAGCAAAAAATCAGCAACCAATTTGATTTTGTCCAGGCTATAGAGCCAATCATAGGATTGTCCTATGGAGCAGGACCAGCATGTTTCCAAGCATTCTTATCTTGAATATAATCATCTAATTTGTAATATGCTTGTTTACAAAGTGTACTTTTAATAAAACATTTAAATTTTCGTTCATTTAGTTTTAAAATGTCACAAGGTATTTTATTGTAACATTTCACACAGTACCCCATAAATGAATTTTGAACTTTGGCTAATCTGAAAGATGGTTGAGCTATTTTATCTTTATTTCTAGTACTAAAATTATGTCTTTCATTTATTTTACTAAAAAGATGTAGATTCTTTCTTACATACATAATATTTTCATAAATGAATTGGCAAGGTACTGTCATAATATTAATCTTTTTAAATAGTTCCCTGAGAGATTCGCAACGACGTAGATTATAAATGGCTCTGACCGCTCTCTTTTGCAAAATAAAAATGGATTCTATGTCAGCAGCCCGACCCCACAGTAAAATGCCGTAAGACATTATGCTGTGAAAGTAGCTAAAATAGACCAAACGCGCAGTTTCTACATTGGTTAAATATCTTATCTTTCTAACCGCATAAACGGCTGAGCCGCCCCGCAAGAGATGTGATATGAGGTCCCCATTGTAACTTCTCGTCTAGCGTGATGCCTAGGAAAACCGTTTGATTAATAAATTCCAGTTTTCCTTCATTCAACATTATGTCACATTCCTTACTTTTAACATTTGGCAACGTAAATCTAATACATTTAGTTTTTTTATCATTCAGTGCCAAATTGTTTACCGTAAACCAATTTTGGACCCGAAGAATAGAGTTATTCACGTCGTCACGATTTTGTGACCGTCGATCTACTTTAAAAATCAATGATGTGTCATCTGCAAATAACACCATCTTCGGTTTATTCTGAACTAATTGGGGTAAATCATTTATGTATACTAAAAAGAGGAATGGACCCAATATTGAACCCTGAGGAACGCCCATTGTAATTTCAGACCCTAACGAGTTTATGCCGTTAACCTGAACTTTAACCTGTCTGTTTTTCAAGTAAGATCTTAGTAAGTCCAGAGCTTTGTTCTTAATCCCGTAGTGATTAAGTTTCAGCAGAAGAGTCTCATGGTTTACGCAATCGAACGCCTTCGAAAGGTCGCAAAAGATTCCAATGGCATCTTGTGCTTCCTCCCAAGCGTTAAAAATGTTCTTGATTAGGGAGACACCGGCGTCAGTTGTACAACGCCCTTTGGTGAAACCGTACTGTTGTTCATGAAAGATGGAGTTTTTATTAAAGTGACATAACATTTGATTGAGCATTAACTTTTCAAAAACCTTACTGAGAGCTGGCAGAATTGACACAGGTCTATAATTATTGGGTTCTTTACTATCACCGGATTTGAACAACGGAACTACTTTACTGTGTTTCATGAGATCCGGAAAGACTCCTTGGTCTATGCTGGTGTTAAATATGAAAGCTAAATAAGGCGCAATAGTTTCGATGATAGAACTACAGACTTTTACAGACAATCCCCAAAGATCTTCTGTAGATTTAATTTTAAGATCTTTAAAAGCTTTCATAACAGCCTGGGGGTTTGTATATTGAAATCGAAACTCCGTAGGGCATGCCCTTACATTCTTCGTAAGTAACGCAAAAGAAAGTGCGGATGATGAACTTAAAGCTTCGGTAGTTTTAAAGGGAATATTGATAAAAAAGTTTTCAAATTCCTGAGCTATTTCTGCATTTGTGTTTATTGGGCCATGTGCAGTCTCTAAGTTAAATTCAGTATTACGCTGTTTTTTTCTACCAGTTTCATTATTTATTATTTGCCAGGTAGTTTTTATTTTGTCATCCGCTGATTTTATTTTATTACTAATATACAGTGATTTAGCAATTTTGCACACACTTTTAAAAGTTTTTGAATATTTCGCAACATGCTGATGAAAGTTTGTATTTTTTACATGTTGCCTTAGGCCATATAGTTCAAAAAGTTTATCCCTGCTCTTACGAATACCTGGAGTCGCCCAATCACTAAAAAGAACTTGGTGTAAATACTTTTTGTCTTTTGTGGAACAATGTCATTAAATTGCGATTTTAACAAGGTAAAAAACTCCGCATAGAACTCATTAGGGTCCCAAATATTATTAAAGTTTTGAACACACAATTTACTGGTCAAGGTATTATTTAATTTCTCTAAATTTTTACATGTAATTGGCCTATACCTTATTTGAATTTTTTGTACAGGTATGTAGGCACAAAACGTTATTGTTTGTCCACTGTGACAGAAGGCAATTTATTAACAATTTCTTTATGTAAGTAATCACAATTACAAAAAATATTATCTATACAAGTGGCAGAAGAAGCTGTCACTCTAGTTGGTTCCATAAAAACATTAGACAGATTAAATGATTTAAAAAGACTTATTAATCTGATACTATTTGAGTTTGTTTCTAATAAGTTAATATTAAAATCACCACTTATGATGATTGATTTACTACTAGTACTAAGTTTTTTTAACACATCTTCCATTACAGAATCAAATACAGATAGATTCTGATAGCCCGGAGGTCTGTAAACACATACTACAACATGCCTATCGAGCTCGACACAGGACAACTCTATAGAATGTTCAACTGACAATCTGATAATGTCTTTCCTTTCTTTAGATTTAACAGAATTTTTGATTAATATTAATGATCCACCGTGTATCATACACTTCCGGCTGAAATAGCTAACTACACAATAATTTTCATAATTAATAGACATTATCTGATGATCATCTAACCAATGTTCAGTTAAACAAATAATATCGAACTTGGTTTTTTCTAAAAACATTTCTATTTCCAGTAATTTGGAAGAGCAACCTTGAATATTCTGATGAAATAATCTTAAAGTATGTTGCTTTCCTTTTTGGTTTATTAAAACATGTTAAATTGCCAGAAGATACCTTTTTATTATCCACAAATAATAATTGATTATTTAAACGGTTAACTTCTGTTGTCTTACAGCCTAGTTTAAAGTACTATCCGGAGTGACCTCTACAGTTGTAGAATAACCTAAGGTATGTGTTCCAGCAGGAAGAGTATACTCTATC